CCCCAAAACCCCAAAACCCCAAAACCCCATCAATGATAATTAAATAAAATTCACAGATATTATTTAAAATAAAAACAATGGAAAGTGCAGACTAATCTAAAGAGAATAATCTTTACCTTGAGAAGAATACTGAGTTGAGACAGTTACTTGAAGCCTTATCATTTGAGATCAGAAACAAGCGCCCTAAAAACATTGTAAAATATTTCAATCATTCAGAAAATAATTCTTATATCTAGCCATAATTTTTACTGAACTACTTGAGCTTTAATTATGGGGAAAGAGCTACAAGTAAGTTTCGATAATCAGCTAAAGCACATTTCTTTGCAAATATTCATTCATTTTTGTTGTAGTTGCCAACAGATAACTCGAATCCTCACTGTAGTCTGAGCTCAAGAGACTTGAGGCACTTTAGGTATTATTTCTAGTATAGTATAAACTGATTCTATAGGAAAATCGTAAGCATTAGTCATCTCTACATAGTGTGCCAAAAACAAATGACACTGATGTTGGAAGCGAGCACGAGACTGATGAAGATGTAGTTTAATATGTATAATGTTACTTAGGACGATGACGATTATATTGATATCTTGCCAGAGCAGGTAGTTAAAAATGCCAAGAAAGGTCCACGTACTTCAGTGAGTGCTGAGGCATTTGGTCACTGGAATAAGAAAAGTGATTTTAAAGCAAGAATCGTACAAAAATCTGAAGAGACGAAAGATAAAATCAGATAGAGACTAGGACAATCGTTCCTCTTCAATTCACTGAATACTGATGAGTTTAAGATCGTAGTTGATGCTATGGAAGAAAAGAGATACAGTGCTGGACAGAACATCATTCAGTAAGGGGAAGACGGTTATGAATTATTTGTTGTTGAGTAAGGTAAACTATCATGCTTTAGATTGTTCCCTGGAAACTCATAAGCCACGTTCTTGAAACATTACGAGGCAGGAGATGCCTTTGGAGAGCTGGCCCTGTTATACAATGCTCCTAGAGCGGCAACTATTACTGCTGACACAGAATGCCTTTTGTGGTGTCTCGACAGAGAGACTTTCAACCATATTGTTAAAGATTCATCTAGAAACAGAAGAGAAAAATACGAGTCATTTTTGGGTAGGATTTATATTAATTAACTTATTATTATAGCAAAAGTAAAAATCCTTGAGAGCATGGATTCTTACGAGAGATCGACTTTATCTGATGCCTTTGTGGAGGAGGTATTTAAAGCAGGCAATCATGTAATAAGAGCTGGTGACGAGGGAAATAAATTCTATTTGATTGAAGAGGGAGAGTTAATTGCTACCAAGCAAATGGCAAATAATGAAGAGGCAAAGGAAGTCATGAAATATAAAGCTGGTGATTATTTCGGAGAGAGAGCATTGATTTAAAATGAACCAAGAGCTGCCAATGTAATTGCTAAAACCGATTGCAAATTAGTAAGTTTGGATAGACACAGCTTCAAGAGGTTAATGGGACCACTTGACACTATTCTAATAAGAAATATGGAGGTCTACGAAGCATATAAAGCCACTGATTCAAAGAAAGGAAAATTATGAATAATTCTTATATTTCTGCCTAAATAATTAATCCATTTCATTGATTGTCTACCTTTTCCAGACCAACCTTCTTCTAACTACTTATGGGGTTTTGGGGTTTTGGGGAGATCGGAAGAGCGTCGTGTAG